TGCACACACTGTTTTTCGCAAGCCCCTCTCCAGTGTGGTAACGTTTGTTTTCTGTTGTATTCTTTCTGTGGATTATATTTGGGAACGCGTGACAGAAAATGTAGTGTTATATTCAAAACGGTTTTAGGCCGGCCTGGCTCTTAATGAAACTCCTGTTTAAATATGGCACTTAGTTCACATTAGAATCATAGCCGGCCTTCTTGGGTTTAAAGCATTGAAAGTTATGGTATTAATCAACTTGACAATAATATCTTTTCTTGGTCCATAAATATTGTCAAGTGTTTTTTTTATTGACAGCAGTGAAGATGTAATTCGCTTTATGATGTTTTTGTGTGCTGATGGTGTATGTCCAACATAGGGAAATATCTGCATACTTTGTTGAAGGCCAAATGCAGCATGATCTGTAGCTGCAAAATATGCAAATGTTAATTTTAACAACAGTTTTAATTTGCCCAAATAGACCTATATGTGTATGCTGCTAATTAGCATAGTTTTAAAGGCACTAAGAACCTTACTATGAAACATTTCACCACATTACATGGATCGAGAAGTGCTTGGTGTTAAATAGCTTTTTTCTGTTATAACATCACTGTATAATCTGTATTATCACTCGTCTTGCTAACTTTCTTGCATTGTGATATACACATTGCTTTAGCTGTCAGTGCTAACCTTGTATACTCCTCCATTGGCGTTGATAAACGAAACTGCATGCCAGGTTTGACATCAGATCACACCTGTTTATGTGATGCTTTAACATAGGCTAGCCCATTGGAACCCATGCCAGCCCACTCATTCTAACCCTGATAAGAATGCATGCGCACACTAACCATTATTAACCATTTATATTTTTGCTACGTATTTCTTTTAAGCAGATCAAGCACATAAAATATTGAACAGGGCTGTTGTCATTGACAGATGTATTTTCTTTTGATTTTGGTATAACATTTAATGGTGAGGTTTGTTTCCCTTATTTTCTGTTTGCATTCACAAGTCTCTTTTTCTCGTGGAAGTCTTGGGTAATGTGTAAATAGGATAGTATGACATGGTTGTGTGATTAAGGCCTGCAGGGTAATGTGCACACCTGTGCTTGTGGTGAAGAACAGGACCCAAATGTTGAGAAATTTGTGATGCTTTTGATAAGGCAATATACACTTGGGGGTAAAAACAGATCAGCTGCCGCGTTTATTATACATGTGTACATTTTTCATTTTATGGAAATGACGATGTGCTGTTAACATTTTGCGCTTTTGACACTTTATGTTGAGAAATGTTACTTGGCTCAAATTATGTACGTCATTAAAAAGACAACTGACATTCTTTGGAATCCCATACTGCAAGGTTGTCATTTGTTAATTTTCATCAACACAGTTTTGCCTCTATTCTTATTGTTCCCAGATGGGCTGTAGAGCTGAGAGTGTTTTTTAGCATTCATGTTTTTTTTCCTGCTTTATTACTGAATACATAGGCTTTAGTTTACTACATTTGGTTTGAGGTTTTATGAAAATGTGTTCACCGAGGATATTTTGATGTGTTCAGTGAACTAATTGTGGCATCTCGCATATATGCATGAGCTCTTATGTCCAAAATTTTTATTGAAATCCCTGTGATTGGAAATTGGTGCATTTTAAATGACAAATATTTATAGCATTTAAAATGTTTTATCCCTATTGTTCAAACTATGATTCTGCATAATATCTTAGTTGCCTTTGGGATCTAACCTTGCACATTACATGCTGTTTATCCTGGGTTTGAAGAATCCCGGTCCTGAATGAGTGTGCAGAGAATTGTATTCAGTGGATAACTGATTAAGTGATCTGAGAAAATGCTTATTTAATACTTGTGGGTATTTTTTCTTTGCGAAAGTTGTAATCTGCTACAAGCCTGGATTCGGTAGATGTCTAGGGTTGATTGCTATCCGAGAAGGTTTATGTATCCAGGTCACCTCGCATCTGGCAGGACACCTTAAATGTGATCAATTAATTGTGATCATTAAGAGCTGGTTACAACTGAACAAAAAATTAAGGAATAAAGCAATGTTTTGTATGTTTTAAAGATACCGTTTGCAGGGCAGCTTTGGCTTAATTTGAGATACTGTTTTGCAGATCTTGCAGCATTCTTAAAAATCAGCTGCAAACCCTTGAAATCAACAGCATATGCAGCCATAATTATGACATTTCACAAACCCAGCAGCAACATATTCCGAGTGCAATGACATTTTTCCCAGTAGGGGGAGTTTGTCGTGTACGTAAAGCATATTTGCGTCCTTGTTTTCATTTGATTACAAAATAACCAACACTTGTGCATTTTCGTATATGGAGGAACTTTGGTAAGGATGGTGGTTTCCAAACGCTTCCAAAAAAGTGCTGTATTGCCAATAAAATTTCCACGTGTTGGTGTGCAGTACTACAAAACGATCATTTAGATGTTTAAACAGAGCTGACTAATAATTGCTGCAGATCACAACTTAATGGGGTATAGTAAGGGGATATTCGGTGATTTCATTGTCATACTTTTCACTTCTGCCTTGTCAAATTCGGTTACTGTATTATACAACAAAAATAGTAATAAAGATTACTGAATACATCGATTTTGATTGCATTTACTACAACACTTATATATGTACATGTGTAGTGGGTTCCACGGAGACTGGAGACGTTATCTTTAGAGGCAACACGGTTTATTTATAACTATAATAGAACTCCCCTTAACTCCTATCTCGGGAGGTACAGCCTCCGGACTAGCGTGCCCTCACACTTAGTAACCCTGGCTCTCAGCCCTCCGGCTAACTGTGCCCTAGGGGAGGCTAACTGACCCGACCCAGCCAAGGTACGGGTCCTGACCACTGGTCCCGAGCTCGGCCTGGCCCTGGCCCTGACAAGGACGTCGGGTCCCAGGGTCCTAGCTAGGCTGGTCTCCTCTTCGTCTTCGGAACACTGCCCCGAGCTGTCACAGAGGTGCCCCTCGTATACTCCTCTCGGGGACTCCCTGCCCCCGGTACCGCCCCTTTTCTGGAACCTTCCAGGGGGCTCTGGAAGAACCCCCCAACCCCTCACCTGGGGTCTGGGGAGGAGAACCCGGCCCCTCAATGGTCCAGCTCTCTCTCTGACTTTCCCCAGCTCAGGGTGGCACCCCCTATGGGCCTGTGCCCGCAACTGCAGGTAAGTATATATATACAAACCGTATACGATGTGCATTTCCGACGGTATACATGAAGGGAAAGCTACAAAAGTCAATATCTTTTAAGTAGATTTGCTTGTGTCATTTGTGCATTGTTAATGTCAATTCTGTCTCAAGTTCGACATGGTTGATTCTTAGAGGAGCCTTCAATCGTGGATCGATCATATAGTAATTATTGTTCATATAGGCTGCGACTAACATGTTGGCTGTGTACATAGAAACTATAATTAAACTAATACAAACATCTTGCCTTCCAAATTTCAGGGCATTTTCCTATTCGCAGCAACCATGCATTTAGATGGTTGAGTGCAAATATTACAACCATCACGGGAGCACCAAAATCAATGCGAACACCGTGGGTTACATCTCATAGGCTACGGTTTATCCAGGAAAGCTTTACCAAACACTCAATTTCAAAACAACCTTGCATGTAACATTTGCCCATATATATGTTTGAGCATTAAATGCATGCACCGTGGTGGAGGGGATGTCCCAGCCACCCTCACACACTCGCACCACACAGACACAATCTCCCTGCACTCAACATCCCACGGGAATTCTAGACTTGAAGCTTTCGTGACTGCAAGGATTCATACTCTTAGGTTTTTTCGGTAAAGTCACGTAGGTAAAACATTTTAATTAATAAAAGTAAATAAAACAAATTAACTTGATACAGCTGTCGTGGCTGTGACGGTTCCACCTGAAGACGGAAGCTTGTGTTGCTTTCGAAACGTGAATTTTTTAATTTGTTTTATTTTACTTTTATTAATTGAAATTTTTTACCTACGTGACTTTACCGAAAAAACCTAAGAGTATCGCACGGGAATACACGAGACGGGGGGTCAAGGGATTAAAGGGCACTGACGTCACATGCACGCACGGGAATACACAAGACGGGGGGTCAAGGGATTAAAGGGCACTGACGTCACATGCACGCGGCACGCGAGACACGTGGATTCGGAAGGAGGGCGGAGATGGAGGGTTTAAAGGGGGCTGTGAAACGCGCGTTCGGGGTTGGTTTTGAGGAACGAGTGTGGCTGTGGTTTGGTGGTAATTATTAACGTCCCTTTCTCAATTTAGTGTTGATCGAAGGCCTCAACCGTGTTGGTCATGGGATTTGATGTCACCACTTTGGTCAGCACAGGTTGAAGGAAGTGGTGGGATGCATGACTGATGAATATCGCACAATGTTAACCACGTCCAAGTGTACAAAGAAGAATGAGATGCATGCTTGGATTTACGCTGAGAAAAAGGGGAACACGAATCTGGAACAAACACAAGTCTGAGACATCTATAGTAACAAAAAAATGATTTGGGTTTTGGCCGGACATATATCTAGACGGGATAATGGTCGAGGGCCGAGACTGATAACGGAATGGCAGCCAAATGTGTGAACGTAATGAGGACGACCACCTCGGGAGTAGGGGCGATGGGATCAGTTCATGTGTAGGAGCGAGATGGACGGTAGCGGCACTGAACGAAGAGGGATGGGCGGTGGGGAGGGAGGGCATTCTTCCAGCAGTGGATCGACAATGGATAGACATAATTATTCACGCCCAGGAATCCAACAACTCAATGCCGGGTTTCACATCGCAGTATGCTAACCACTTCTCCACCACTCCCACCCATGCACATTTGTGCTGTCCGGTAACTTTGTTGTAGAGAAAAAAGAAAAAAAACACCGAGATGCACGTGAAGCGAGTTTTTTTTGTCGGTCGTGTTTACCGCAAGATCGGTGGTTTCACAGAGGGTTTGTGTGGTGGGGGGGAGAGAGAGATCAGATTTGGTGGCCAGGTGAGACGTGCGCTGCTCGGTTGGTTGCGGCGGGTGGCTGGGAGGAGGTGCTGGGTGGAGCTGTCACCGCCACCGGGGCAGAGGGGAGAGGGCGGCCACTGCGTGGGATCTGCCAGGTGTCACGCAGCGACGCTTACCGATGGAGAACTAACACGCGGCGGTGAGTCTTCTGGTCAAGCTTGTAGTCGATTTGGGAGGTCGTCTCTTTTTTAAAATCTCGCGTCGAACAATTTTACAACGAATACAATTGAATGTCTTTGTTCAGATCAAACTTTTTTTTTAACTGCGCGTGTATGTCGTATAGTCGTAGACCAGGTGGCGGTCGTGACGAGTGAAGCGATGTGTGTCAAAGCAGGACTTGTTTTTTGTGCTTGTTTCGGACGCTCGTGTTGACTTTTGTTTTCTAAACGCCTCCAGGCACTGGCTCTGGCCGCGCGGCTGAGTTGTCACCCACACTGTACCCTACAGGAATGTGAACGCAGGCAGATTGTAGGTGTCACGAGTGTGTGTGATTATAATGCTGCCCTCCGAATTGGTAACAACATCTCCATTGCGCCTGGCGTGGTGGTGTTATCATACGACACACCTGTCAACCCCTTGTCAGTGCTCTATCTTATTACAGACCAATTCAGACCTTATTGGTCACCTCGTGCCCATATAAGTCTCGACGTTCGTCCGACAAAGTCCCATCACAAGGGAGAAACGCAAACAAATGGACGCGCATTTTTGTTAACCGTATTGAAACGGTTGTACGCCGTATGGACCTGCCGATTAAATTTTCATCTACAGGAATACAGGGTAACCACTAACCCGTATGAGTTGACACGGTATGATACGGGGCTGTTGGAAGTCTTCTCATTGTAAAACAATTTAGTGACAATCCTGATTTGAAGCTTTCGTCACTGCAGGAATCCATACTCTTTGGTTTATTCGGTAAAGTCACGTAGGTATAAAATTAAATAGATCACGACGTTTTGGGCGCAACACAAGCGTCCGTCATCAGGTGGGAAAGCATGATCTGCTGTTGAGGCAGACTGTTTTATTTTATACCTACGTGACGCCGTCGTCCTTGCTATAGCACTTGCGGATGTTAACATTCAAAGGGAACTGATGCGATGCTCTATGCCACATGTAGTTGTGCTACTGTACTTTGTTCTTAACTGAAGAACCCAGTTTCCCAATAAAGGTCACGTTCTTCAAAAAAAATTACCTGTCCATTATAAGGTAGTGGTTTGCAGAGGGATTTTGTAACGGTGTATATATTTGCGTAAGCGAAAAATACAGTTCCCAAATACTGCATGCGAATACAATGACTCGTGTGTTTACTTTTAAATTAAATACTTATTTGAACGTGCTTTTGAGTGTAGTAAGGAATTGGGGCGCACGACCTCTATGTTATGTTCGTGAGTGTTGGTTCATACTTTATAATTCGAGTTGGCGTGTGGTGCCGGAGCTGGCATGGAGGCATGCTGAATTCCCCCACATGTTCATCGTAAGCGATTTACCGTCATGCAAACTACATATACCGAGCATCGTGGGTCATAAATGTGGGAAGCTGCTTTTAAGCTGCCTGAACATTGAACTTGCTTTACCTGTCATTAAACTACAGTACTGGAGTCCTCCCACCTCACCCTTTCTAATTAACGCACGGTGTTCACAGACTTGCTGACATTCCGTCATTAGATTCGACCACCTACCATCATCATCACCGCGCTCTGGTGACGAGATGTTAACTACCTCGCCTGGTATACAGGAGATCGAGGGTTCAATCCCGACTGACGCCTGCTGTATATTTGAAGGTTGCATGTCTCTCTCTCGCCGTAGTCGCGTGGATTTTCCTCCAGGTTTTTCCCTCGACATTTCAAAAATGCGTTTAGAGTATTTGACTGCCGTAAATTTCCACGTGATAGGCCACTTTGTTGAGCTATCGTTTGTGGCTAGGCCACTTCTGGACTAGAGCTATATAGCTAAGTGGGCCTTACCTGGTGAAAGAAGAAAAATGGGTAACCACCGACACGACACAAACCGGTTGATTTCGGCTGCTTCCGGGGGGACGTGGTGGGCAACAGAGGACAGTGCATCAACATCCAATGTTTTGCTGTAGGGGTCAACTTTTACACTCCCCACCTTCAAACCCACACTGACCAACTTGGTGAAGTATGGTCATATTACCCACCACGACGCGTGACCCACACGGTGTACATTGCCAGCTTAATAATCGACATTAAGCGACGCATCGTTCCACCCACGTAATGTTTGCTGTGTTGCCTATTGAATGGTAGCCGGTCTCAATTTGGCTCTCACCTGGTTATGAAGCATGTATGTACAGTATGTTAAACTTCTTTCACACCGTACGTAGCCAACCGTGCCAATCGGAGGTGCCCGCCAATCGATACCATGACTTGTCTGACTGGAGGGATGTGAAGCCTAATGTAAGTTATCTACAAAGTGGATTCTCACGTGGAAATGTGTAGCAGCCAAATACTGATGACATGAGTGAATGCCTCTTGAAGGTCAGCACGCAGACGGGAGAAGGGACAACGAAGAGGAGGGCGGGCGAGGAGGGGAGCGATGGAGCACGCCAAGCTCGTGCTGCTGGGAGAGCAGAACGTGGGGAAGACCAGCCTGCTGCACCGTCTCGCCACCAACACCTTCCAGCCGTTCGAGGAGCCCACTGTGGGAGGCAAGCACATGTCAAATGTGGGCCTCAGGATAGAAGTCCATCGTTGTCGTCCTCGGCTATTACCTATCCATTGCTGGATAACTATTTTTTATTTCACCAGGTAAGGCCCACTGAGCTTTGTAGTTCTTTTTCAGAAGCGACCTGGCCACAAATGCTAGCTCAACGATGTGGCTTATCACGTAGACATTTCATAACAGTCAAATGCTCTAAACGCATGTTTCTAAAAATGCGAGGACCCGGAAAAAGAAATCCACACGACCACAGGGAGAACATGCAAACTCAAAATATACAGGCGTCAGGGTCGGGATCAAACCCATCACCTCCTGCATATCAGGCGAGGGAGTTAATATCTCGCCACTGTGGCGCCCCTGAAGGCCTCCCTGTGCCGTCACCATCTCTCACAGTCTCGCGATGCGACGATTCATCTAGTTCCTGCACACGATGTAACGTCGTCCCTCCATCTCCGCAATGGACGTCATCTCGGATGCGTTCCCTAAATGGCTGAAAATGCCATTTTTATCGACCACCGGTCATCATCCCCTGTCACAGCTCACCTACGTTTCTTAACAGTTGATACAATGCATCTACCTTGCATGTGTTCTCTGAACCACGTGTCCCTCTTTCCATCTGCCAGTTTTACTGTTCCATTGTCTTGGTCAATGTCGACGTTGTTGATCCATGTCATATAAACGGTAGTACAGCAAGGCCAGTGGCTGTACAAATATTTATCCTACTCCGTTTTTAAACCACCATTTTACATAGCGACTTATTTTTCTTTCAAAAATAATTGTAGCTCATGTAAGGAGAAAATTGTTATTTAGCTGTTGATTTGAAATTCTGCGTAGACACCATAGTTCATTGCCCAATATATGAGAAGGTTGGCAAAGCAAACCAGACTAACAGGTAATGATTGTATACACGATACAATACATTACCATCCCGTTCATCATTGTTCTGCATTGTTCACTTTACATATCATTGTGACACCATTGTAACCTCCTTTGCCAATAGCAAAATATGATAATTGCTCTTTTACCCTTTTATCTGGCAACAAAACTGACACCATTTAAAGAATAAAAATTGAGTCACGTAGTATGACGTGTGCAGATGGTTGCTACCTTTTCTGATTTTCCCAGGACATCCTATTTTAAGATTCCTGATTTTTGTCAGTTGTAGTACTCCCCTATTACGGTGAGATATTCTTCCTCCCATGATGTGTCCCGTTTTCTGTCCCTTAGAGGTGGCGACCCTACCTGCGCACCCTCTACTCCGACATCTAACTTCTGCGAGATCAAGGGACAAACGTTGTGAAGCTCGCAAAAGACCACATGATGTAGAGACGGCTTATTGTCAACTAATCACTGACGCCCTCATGATCTCAACAGCTAAGGGACTGATAGTGATAATGATCATAGCCCAGTCGGAGCACAATTGCCCCTTGCTGCAGAGATTTGTGGTTTGTTCCCAGCAGCCACCCATGTTAATACTATTGGCGTATTAACCGCAACATTATGCACCGTTCACTTCACGGTGGACTTAAACAATCCCATTACGTTAAATAATTAAAATGTATGCCGTGTGTGCCTCCAAAATGGTCCAACATTTTCCGAATGTTTTACATTACTGTACTTTAAAATGACGTAATTTGGATAACACATAGCACACATCACCTCCTACCAGCACTCCAATGCCCACATTCTGGCCGGTGCTACATTCAACTTCTGCCTCAATGCATGGGACAGCTGTCGCTAGGGGTCCCCTGCCGCAGGACAACTTGAGATGTACCGCGTGGGAGGTGCTGTATCAACATTCAGCGATGATGATCGATGATGATAATGATAAACTTCTGTCTGTTGACCGGTCTAGCGGCCTACACAAGCCATGTGGTGCACTTGGACGACACGGCGGTGAAGTTTGAGATATGGGACACTGCCGGGCAGGAGCGCTACCACAGCCTGGCGCCCATGTACTACCGCGGGGCACAGGCTGCCATTGTCGTCTACGACATCACCAGGAAGGTGAGCAAGAACTGCTGCTGCTGCTGCTGCTGATTGGCTGTAGGAAGGCGAGGTGGCTGCGTGGCTCAGGAGTTAGACCTCTGAGAAAACGATCAGCTTCGCTGTCACGTGACAAACATTACTGTCCCTGGAAGAGAGTTGGAAAGGGCCCCCCCCCCCACCCCCTAACTGTGTGAACCAGAGGTCAGAATCACAATCTGGAGAAATCCGAAAAGCTAATGAAGCTTTTTTTCACAGATGTCCAATAGGGGCATGGGGTCAGAAAGTTACAACAACAAAAACGAGCGGAGTGCAAAGTGTAGAAAAGGAAAACAAATCACCAAACATAATTACATAAGATAGATTAAGTATACAAGTTCACAATACATAAGTACTGTACACCAATTCCTAAGCTTGGGCAAGGTAGCAAAACAACAGCAAGTACAGTCCCAAACCACACCCAAGACAACAGAGTCCCGCAATAAAATTGCACATTAACATTCAACATTGAAATGGAATGGATCTCAGATGTCTGCTTCCGTCGACTATTCTCTTCACACAGATAAGTTGCACTGCCCTGTGAGGGATGGAAATGTATGCTTCATCTCATGGCATGATGCCCTATAGTAAAATGAGGGTAAAGTTAGGGTAAAATTATGTAGAAAATGAAGTGACGATGGGATGCCCCCGTGAGGATAGATTTCCAAGAGAGTTCCGTTGACAAAGAGCCACTTCTGGTTGCTTGACGGTGGATCAAACCCGACCAGTGTGGTGCACGTCTGAACAAGTTCAAGGTCAATACGTTGTCAGGACGAGCGCCGTTGAGTGCCACCACACCTAGCTATCGCTGCCTTCCATTATATAATCCCATCGTTTTTGAATTCATGACATTTCACCTCCACTGCCTCAATTATTTTCAAGTGCAACAGCTAATGCATTGCTCATAAGGCACACCTTTCCTTCTTTGTTAAAAAGAGCTGAAGTTTAAATAGCTACAGGTGTTGTTCTTTAAGTGGAGGGTTTAAGCGCCCTTTTTATCCCTAGTTGGCATGTGTTTGGGTATTATTGTTAAGATGCAAGCAAGATATTCTTGTGAAGTGTGCCCAATCTGCTGAGCAATGCCATGGTCGTATTTGTAAGAATAAGATACTTTGTACCAGTGTCATAACGATGTTGATCAAATTGACCATTTTTCCAAAGCTGTATAATACGTTAACTCATTTCAAATGAGTTGCTGGTAACCTAATGGAACTGTCCTATATGAGATGACAATGATGACGATGATTATAACAATTATGATGGGTGTCTGTTTTTTTTGCAGTGTTATTAGAACACTTAACTTGCAGCTGTTTTTCAATGTCAGGAGTGAAGGTTATTTGAACCATACTTCACCACGCTGGCGAGTGTGGGTTGCTCAAGGGGTTCAGAGGCAAAATGAGCTCAGATAAAAAAAAATCATCCCAGGCATTTGTAAACACACCTGCCCAAATTCTTGCTATGGGCAATATATTTTTTTAATTTATGGGCTGTGCGACAATGTGCATAGGAGCTAGATTTGTGATGTGACATATTCGTGTTATTTCGCGGTGCGATCTCATTGGCCCATTTTGGCTGGGTCCACAAAACAAATGGGACCCCTTTAGGAAGAATCTTTGGGGCTGCCGAATATGGGACTTAATGTGCACTGCGAGCAATACATAAGCAATGAAGTGTACACATTAGAGGTTATAAAATATTTTAACAAAAACATATTATGCATTTGTTTTACTCTGAGCATATTTGCAATTTTCCCAACACAGACCAGCCCACTGGCCCTTGGAATGGACCGGCTCATCGGGCATTTGCCCGGACTGGCCATAGGGCAGTCCGGGCCTGCCTACTGATGTTAGTCGTTAGCCAGAAATTGACAAGACGCCGGTGAAGTGTGCCAACCACTCTGCCGCCGCTCCACCGTTTATCTGGGTATGCAGGATACGTTTGTAAGAGCTCAGGAGTGGGTGAAAGAGCTGCAGAGGAGGGGTCCTCCACGCATCGTAATTGCGCTCGCTGGTAACAAGGCAGACCTGGAAGCTAAGAGGGACCTGGAAACCGAGGTGAGATGAAAGCGGCTTCAGCACGGTGCGGTAGCCTGCGGACTTGTCGAGGGATATTGAACTCAGAAAGGTTGCAAATCAAGGAAGACAAACCATGCATGAACATGGATTATATAAAGCTTTGGAAAATGTGTTTGTCCCTGGAAATATTTTAGTAGCAGTACGGAATCTGATGGGTAGTTATCAGGGCAACGTTCATTTTCATATTTGTGCTTCCATGTTTTTGACACCCCTTCTATTGGTTTGGCCAGGTTTCATACATATAGAATCTAAAGGATTGCAAATTATGTCATTTGAAAAGAAAAAAATGTGTTTGCCACACATCCCCCAAATTATTTACGGACGTAAAAAAGAGGGCATTTGCTGTCAGATATCCTCGTCAATAATAAATGTAATATTATACTGTCATAACCACACCTGGCACAGCTCTTAACACATTCCTGCGGAGGGAGCTGGTAGGAACGTTGGGTTGCTCGGTCAATGGCCAGGGTCAACGGCGGCGTGGTGTAATCCGCAAATATGGCCGACTGTGAGGGCGGGCACAAGCCGGCCTGAGTAGGTTAAACGTTGACAAGGGCACCACGGGGTGACCAGCTCCTCCCCACCCAGCCCCACCCCTCTCACCCCCCACCCAGCCCCACCCTCCCCACCCAGCCCCTCCCCACCCTTCCCACCCAGCCCCTCCCCACCCTCCCTTCTCCACCCAGCCCCACTCCTCCCATTTTTGGATGCACGACGGAGAGATGGACAGAATAATCCCCTGTGGGTTGGTGTAACCAAGAGGTTCCTACCAGTAATACACTGTTTTAATCGAGCCGATGCACAGTGGCGTAGCGTTGTTGGCATCGGCTGTGGGGCAAGGAACGACATGGGGCCCCCTTTCCAATACCCCTCCCCCCCACCTCTTCGTAGCCTGACGCCTGGGCCCCTCTGGCTCGTGAGTCATGGTGCAGTTGCACCGCCTGCACACTCCATTTCCCTCGATTGCTTCGGTACTGCACAAGTGTCTCCACACGTCATCCTCCTCTCCAGCATTGTGTATGTGTCCCCATGAATCGAAGATATATGTGAACAAGATTAAAACTCCAGGGTGGAACGGTGGCAGAGTGGTGAGGCTACATACATTTGATTCCCAGCCACCACTGACGTCAGTGGCAAGTGATGTCTAAACCAGTTCTGGGACCCTCTTTCATCTACCCACGTTTACCAGCGTGGTAAATTATGGTCACACAACCCCCATGACTCATGACGCAGGGAGACTTTTCATCCAGCAGTGACTTGACAAAGGAATGTAAGTTATTATTATGATATATATACGTGAGGGTGGTACACACTGTATGACCTATTACATGAGCTTGTTCTAAGATTTGACATCCCCCATTGCAATATGACGCGCACATTTACAGGTGCAGTTGACTGCCGACACGGCATTTGACTGCCGGCACAAGGCAATAAGGAGGCCTTCCAGCAGTGGATGGACAAAGGGCTGTGTACATTAAAGCTCAAAGTGACCAGACGTCCCGCACCAAATTGTACCCAATGCTTCTGCGTACGTGCGCAATGCAGGCTGGCAAGCAGTATGCAGAGGACCTGGGACTCCTCTTCATGGAGACTTCGGCCCTCACTGCCATGAACGTGCAGGATGTTTTCCATGCCCTGGGTCAGTGCTGCCACTGCCTATTCATCATCATCATCATCATCCGAAGCAGCAATAGCAGTGGCCGCGATTTATCCACTGCTGCATTAATTCTTCCCCAATACATCACTTTCTCTCACGGTTTTATGATGTAACAATCCATCTAGCGCCTGCACATGAGCTGATTTCATCGGTCCATCGCCAAAATAGATTCCTCTCATCAGGTGACAATTGCTTGTGTTGCGATCGAAACATCGTGATATTGTTATTTTTTTATATATCTACGTGTCTTTACCGAAAGACCCAAAGAATATAGTTAGTATTATGTCATTAACTTGCATACATGTTCTAACCCATGTGTCCCTCCCAATGTTTCTCAGCATAATTACAATAATCTCTCGTGTTTCTTTGACTTGAAAGAAAAAGTTTTGTTCCTCTTCCTTTGTTAGTGTCCTTGTTTCTGGTCCACGTGTAAATAACAGAGTGTAATGTAAACGGATTATCTTTTGTCACACTGTAATGCATACCTCGGACAGCTATTGACGAAGAGATAAACTGTATGAAGAGAGCAGGGTAGAGTTATTAACCCATTTCACACGTCATTCTCTACACCGGTTGATTTCCCTTGTGTTTTATTTCTGTTGCTTCTATATATATTCGAATTGTGCTAACAGATTGACGTCAACAAGATGAATTTCCCATTCAGAACTTTCTGGTGCTTCCATATATGGAAACTATAAATTACGTGAACCGGTCCTTACCCCCCCTCCCTCACTTCCCCCCCCCCCCCACCCTTTCTCCAACCCACACTGACAAGCATGGGTGAGGAGACTTAAACTGTCCCCACGACCAACGTAACATGGGGGGGGGGTGGGGCTTATCCAGCAGTGGACTGACAATCGGTTGTACATTCTATCTCTTGCGCAAAGGCGATATGTTCATGAGCTTTAATGATAATGTCAAGGTCTGCTAGCCACGACTTCTGGAGAGAGTTCGTGCTGGGTTTGGGGCTGTGCATGACCTGACATCATACAATTATATGGGCGCGTAGGTTTGCAGCGCCCCCTGCATGAAAACGACGGAAAGTGCAGCGTTCATCACAGATAAAGTTGTGTGCGCTTATATAAGAGTATGATATTGTAATTTGAAGAGCAAGCCCTGTTTTACATTAGAACTAACAAAATAAAAAATATTGAACTCATTTTGATGCTACCACGGCTTAATGGTCAGCATGCTAGACATGCAATCCGCATGTTGCCTTATCCATTCAAAGATTGAGAAAGTTTCATAAATTCCCCTGCCTCTGCTCATCCAGGAGAATGCAGGGGTAGACCACCCCCAGGGGCGGCTGTTGATCTGGGCAATAGATGACTTAGCACCTTAGCTTGAAAAAGGACATGGAATCGAACGTTAAACGGGGGTTTTCATAACCAATACAAGATCCATGCATGTTTGCCAGTATGGGGCATAAGACTGCCAGTCGGGGGCAATGATTGATTTGTGGAGGCCTTTCTACGAGTAATGACAAGAGCAAAGAATTGGAGGGTTGCACCTTTAGCTTTTTATATTATTCATCTCATAACTACAATTTAGACTTTTTAAAAACTTGTTTTTTATTTCTTCTTTATTTTCTTCATTCTTCTTTCCTTCAAGCATGTTAGTCCATGAGCCCAGACGAGATATTTCATTTGTCGGTACCTCCCCAACTGTCTTCATTTTAGCAGTCCCAATGTCTTTATGTGGCCAATAAAAGTGATTTGCGTGATAACCATTTGAAATAAGTGGGTTATCAACTAATTCGCTCACATTTGCCATCTCATTAATTATGTCCCGATAATATTGTGCTAATAGATGATACCAAAGTCTTCTCTGGCCCATGGACTATGTAATTTAAAACAAAGTGACATAGGTACGTGCAGAGGGTGATCCAGATGTTGTGTGACCCCCCAATTAATTGACCCTAACATTATTTTCCTTGGCATATTCATTTCTGTTTTGAATAAACTGTACTTTATTTTTTTTATGAAGTTTTAGATAATTAATTAGGGGTCACAAGACATCTGCACCACCCTGTACATTTGATGGTGTTTTCTTCCTCTCGCACCCACAGCCAGCAAACTGCCCAGGAGCTCTCAAGAAGACTCGCAGAGACTCCAGTCGAACAACGCTATCCGTTTAGAGCAAACGGTGGAATCGGCAGCCGAGCCAGAGAGTAGTCCTTGCTGTTGACTCTAATTCACGTAGAGAGCATCAAACAACACAAACGTGCACATTTTTTTAAAAACAAATTTAAGTATGGCCAACATTACAATTGACGGACTGTGGATTTTCTAAATCAACATTACATTTTAAAAAAATGTTTTGATAAATATTGCTTTTCGAAACAATTTTAGCAGAGCATCTGCAATGCAACGCGTATGAATCTGTAAAGTTTTTTGTGAGCGACGTTGTACAGTGTGTATGTGGCTTACGTGTGCGGGCATCAATTGTTGCGTTGACCGTGGCGAGTAAAAAAAATAAATAAATTGCTTGAAACATTAAAAGGACTGTGCTCTCGCTGTTGTGTAACCGTCGGTCTTGCCCACGTCAAGCCGTCTGGCGTGGGTGTGCCTGTGATGCGCAATGTGCAAAAGTCCTATTTGTGCTTTTACAATACACTGTGACCTCACCGTTCAAAGTGCAACGCCGCTCGCTATTCGGTATAAGGAAGCCATTCTCGGAAACCACGCAGGGACCAGCCCAACAGAGCCAGCGGTGTATATGTGGTGCATGCTCGTGTTTTATTATTTTCCGCTCGTGTTTCTCTTCTCGATCAACCCTTCTTGGAGACCCTTCCCACGTGAGCTGTGTTTTGTGCCTGTCTCTTTTGCTCGCCGTGGACCCCCGTGTTGGCTGGGCAGGAGCCGGTGCCCTTTCTTCACCCAGCTGCTCGTGTGCGCTGGAGCGTGCGAGTCACCCTCTGCCGTGCCGTGGCACCGGGTTATTAATGCCGTGCAGGGCTGCGCTGGGCAGGCACTCAAACAAGGAAGTTCTCAGTTCCTGTCTGTTTTAAATATAAGTTTTGAAACAACGTATTTAAGTAACTTCGTTTCGACTAACCAGCAACTTTCGTGCGTCAAAAAAGACATCGTCTCCATGTAATTGTTTGGGCGTTTAATTTCTGCTCAAGTAATTAATTGGCCATGGATGGTGTCCAGGGCCAAGTGAATTGTGTAATGGTGTTGTGACTGTACGCGACCTGCTGTACAAACTGCTTTGGACTATTTTAAGGTGTGCCAATGTTTGGGAATTTTATATTGACAGTTTGACTTAGCGTGCGGTCATGTCATGTACACGTTGTGTTTCTGTGTAATTGGGGAACATTTGCGTTTCCAGAGAAATGTTGAAAAGTGTGCAATTCTCTTTTTCTCTTCTCCCTTGCAGCTGTGAACGGAGGCCGCTTGGTCCATTGGCCACAACCTCCGTCTAATGCTGTCCCGTACGAGAAGTTGGTATTGCGTTCGTTGCAGTATTTTCTTTCCAATTTACTCAAAAATCTTCAGTCTAGCAACCTTAAATCCATATTCAGTCCACACATTTTCAGTAGGCATCCTTTGCATTTGTAGCCTTTAACTATCGTCATTGCTTTTGGTGAAAGTCTGTTAAATGTCAACTGCATAGGATTTCGCCGTTGTGCTGCATCGCAGCTCTCTCTTGTTGTACCGTGCGATGTTAAAAATGATGTCCGATGTTTCGCGACACATGCTGGGAGCTTCTTTAAGAAATGAACAATCTCCCAACACGTGAAGTGAAAACATCGGACTCCCTACCGAACACACGGTTCAAATTCATCACAGAGCTATCAAAAGTCTGTTTGATGGAATCCTTGTGTGGAATTACCCCACTATTATAATGTCAGTTTAACACGAAGGCTTTCGCGACAAATATCATCCAAAATACAGATTTTTTTTTGGGTTAGATCGCGTAAATATAAATATGTCGTTAAACACGCCACCACCCGACACAGCCAATTATCAAGGGATTTGTCACGTAAACAGAACATGCCAATTCGGTACTAGTACAGCACACCGGTGTGTTGGAGAGCGAATCCACAACGTTTACGAGTACGACGTTTCACAGTATTGTTTAAATGAATGCCTATACGTCAATGGGGATTACCTGTGAACAGACAATAACAGGCGCTGTGATTTTAGTGCAGGTAAATGACAAGGGGTGCAAGAACAATGTGCATGCATAATGTACGTTTATTACCATTTCCATAAGCCAAAACGGCAATGGATAACCCATAGTCATGTTCATGCATTTATTACTCCCTCCCCTCCTCCCACTTCGGTTGTTATTACTGGCGAAAAGTCGTACTCAGATTGTAAACGTTGTGGATTTGCTATCCAACATACCGTTGTGCTGTACTAATAAGGAATTGGCATATTCTGTTTACGTGACAACCCTTACTAATTGGGTGTGTCAGGTGGTGGCGGGTTTAACGACACATTTTTATTGATGCGATCTAACCCAAAAAACCTATATTATGTATTGTAATGCCACTCTTCGCCAGATTTATTTTATTTCACAATTTAAATGCTGTATATGGCCAGCTACACTGTGAACTAGGTCACAAACACGTAGTTATTTCTCTATTTCAGCTATCGCTTTAATAATTAAATTCAGCATTAACCCTCTCTTGCTCATTCTTGGCTAATTATGTAAGGAGACTTTAACGCGTTTGTTGCAGGTAGAAGCTCCCACTCGCTGAAGCCATGGGCCAGAAGAGGACCAACGTCTCGTTGAGGCACCAGATGTCCTCGAGCCTTCGGGGTCGCCAGCTGACCCCCCAACCAGCCTCGACCAGAAGGGCCCTGCAGTTCAAGCTGGTTCTGCTGGGGCGCGAGCAGGTGGGCAAGTCGAGCCTGGTGGTGCGCTACGTCCTGGATCAGTTCACCGACAATCTCCAGAGCACCATCGGTGGTGAGTGCCGGCCGTGTGAGGTTGCTGTGGAGATGGAGTCTGCCTCAATGGCCCGCGATCACAAATCCCTATTTAACTCCATCAAAAAAGTAACCTGCAGCACCACACCTATTACCATCATTAGGGTAAAAAACGGTGATCCAATCTCCGACCCCCAGGAACAGGTTTGCAGATTTGCTGAGTATTTCTGTGAAGTCCTGGGGGAGGGGAAATCCCTCGACATGGGAAACATCGTGGGACAAAGTGGGGATGATCCTGCGGAGGCTGCGGTGCCCCAAATATTTGAAGAAGTCACCCCCTGTGAGTGACTGGTTGAGGTGCCATCTGTTGAGGAAGTACTGAAGGCGATCCAGAGTCTGAGACCAAGAAAGGCACCAGGCAGAGATGATCTCCCAAGCGAAATACTGAGGGAGGGTGTCGTTTGTGCACAGACTGCCCTACATGACATCATAACAACAGTCTGGACGAGTTCCGTAGGACTGGAAGGATGCCCTGGTGGTCCCCCTCTTTAAGAAGGGGGACCGCACATACTGTAACAACTACAGGGGCATCTCACTCCTCAGTGTGCTGGGAAAGGTCCTGGCAAGAATTATTCAACATCGCCATGCTAGGCACGCTGAGGAGAGGCTTGCGGAGCCTCAATGTGGTTTCAGGAAAGGGCGGTCCTGCACGGATGCCATATTTTCTGTCCGTCTGCTACAGCAGAGGTATAAGGAATTCCAACTAGACCTACATCTCTGTTCTATTGACCTGGTCAAGGTCTATGACACCATCAGTAGGCCTGGGCTCTGGGTTGTTCTTCATGCTTTCGGAGTCCTTGACCCTCTGCTCATAATCATTAAGGACCTTCATGATGGTGAGCGGGCCCAGGTAAAACTACGTGGCCGGGAGTCGGAGCTATTCGCTGTACAGCTTGGGGTGCGACAGGGATATCCTCTGGTTACCACATTATTTAACATCTATTTTGACCACGTAGTTTGTGAGACATTCAATAGCTGTACCGGAGGAATTTCCATCTGGTACAGATATAATGGGAGGCTGAGCGATGCCTGAGTGCGATCAAGGGATGGCTCCCTATTGCTCAACCATGTTATGTATTGGAGGCGCTGCTGCTAAACCTGGAGCTTACCACTAAGAGGTGGGGCCTTACCATCAGCCCCACCAAAACTAAACACCTGCCAGGGTATTTTGTACCATCGGACACTCCACCCCCACAACTCCCAATTGGTGATGGCGCAGTTGTGGAGAGAGTTTAGAGTTGCCCATATCTGGGCAATGTGCTTATGACCGGCTCCGGTTTAACAGCAGAGGTCTCACTCTGAATCATTCGAGCGGCATTATCTTTTCATCGGTTGCCTAACGCTGTGTGGAAGCTACCTGGTATGTCGCTCCGCACAAAGCTTCAGGTCTTCTCGACCACAGTCATTCCCTCCCTTCTCTACGCTTGCGAAACGTGGACCTCCCTAATGGTACATCTTCGCTGGTTAGAAACATTTAGGCTGGCCTGCCTACAATCCATCCTGGGTTTAACCAGGCTGGATTGTGTGAGGAGCTCACAAATTCTTGAAAGATCTGGACAAAGTCCCATCAGTGAGCACCTCCGGCAGGCAAGGCTGCGTTAGCTGGGCCATGTAGCCCGCATGCCAAGTCACCGCATGCCTAAACAGCTTTTGTTTGGCCGGATCGAGGGGGCTAAACGGGCACGGTACGAGCTAGAGAAGAGATGGAGTGATGTGGTACAGGAGGATGTGGAGCTGAGTGGACTTGCCGATGACTGGTACCAGCGGTGTCAAGATAGGCCTCTGTGGAGGAGGCTCGTGAAGGACGCTACTGGGCAGTTGGAGGCAGTCGCCCTCCAACAACAATGGAGGGACAGTGAAGCGACGCCCACAACAACTGAGCAGAACGCCGGGTGGCTAACGCACAGCAAGTTGGCACAGTAGGGGCACAGGTGGTGCATCAGCCAGTCATCTCAGTCAGTCGACAAGTGGCACCATCTGGGTCTGCCCCGTGACCTCCTGCCAGCGGGCGTTCGACACTTCACATGGCCTCAAGGTGCACATAGCCTGGCACAAGCATCTTGGTGATGTCACCGCCACTTAGTGGCGAATGGCGGTTGTTGTTGTGTTGTGGGAGCGGTAGTGTAATGATTAGCGCATTGCGCTAGGAAACCGGCAACCCAAGTTATATTCCCGCTTATGGCGATTATCTGAATCGGTCCTGGGCCTCATCTAAATCCACTGGGCCTCAAATGAGTACCTGGTGCAATGTGTAAACATTGCCACTGTAGAGACAAAGGCAGTTGGGTGTGGTGCTGGGTACCCACCCCTCATGTGCAATGCCAGCCTTCATAGGTGCTTGCTAACCCCACTTGCCTCAACAGTCTGTCAAGCCTATATGGGGGATATTTGTCTTTGTATCCCACCGAATCCACATTTTATGTTGAGCAATACCATAACAGTTATTGCACTGCATGATGAATTCAGCAACCCGAATTTGTTTCCGGCCAATGACAAGGAGAGGAAGAAGAATAACAGCATGTATAGTAGAGATTTTCATCATAAAATATGAAGGTGTT